TTTGACAGCCTACTGGCTGTTAGGAATTGTGGGAGTTGATGTCCAAAACAACTGGAGGGAGGGATGAAGTTTGCCCATGCCGCTCTGGATGACCATCAGTTGGGAGGGGTTGCGTTGTGGATTCCTATGTGGCAGGGTGGGGTTGGACTGGGGTCTCTTCCAATTATTATTCAGTGATTCTTAGGGATTGTTTCTCTTCTTTATTTGCCAGGTTCACTTGGCTGCCTTTGAGCCTCTAAGTCGCCAGTAGGCTGAGAATTGCGGTATATAAGCGTAATAAATAAATAAATAAATAAATACTTACAGTCCTTACCAATTTATCTGAGTGTCTCTCAAAGAGGCCCTCTTGGAGGAGACTTTTCTCCTACTGCTTTCCAAGCCCTTTTGGGACTTCCTTCACCCATCCTCAAGTGATGTCTTTTCTACCTTTTTCTCCAGCCACATTCTCTCCCAGAGGGCAAAGCTCATTACTGAGACAGACGGGCTGCACCAGCAAAACGCAGAACTCCGGCTGTTGCTGCAGCAGTACCTCCAGTCCCCGGTGAGCAAAGGGAAGAGGGTGAAAGGGAGGAAAGGCCTGGGCGTTTTGGGATCAAGGGTGGTCCCTTCCCTTGTGGGAGCATTACCTTAGGCATTGACTCTTAAGTAGAAGTATGTAAAGCAGCCAAAATTCGATTAGTAGTTCATTTCTGAGATTTGATGGCCCCTGCTTTGTTTTGCAAAAATTCAGAAGGGTTCTGTTCTGATTAGCAATCTGAGTCTTTGAAGTTCCGTAACTGTTTCATTAGCGGCAATGGGGAAAATCTAGAGTAGTGGTTCCCAACCTTTTTTTTTGGACCAGGGACCATTTTGACCAGGGACCACTCTCTACTTTCCCCCCTTTTTCAGGTGAATGCGGAGTTGCTGATCCCTCCCACCCACTTACTGAACCTGCAGTTGAATTCTGCATGACCCATCCTCCGCTGGAAGTTTAGGGGCTGTTTGACTCTCCCAATCCCCCTCTTTATGGAGCCCTCTCAATGGGCCATTGTGGGTGCAACAGAGCCAAACTGCGAGGAAAAACTACTTTGAAAGATTGGTCCCTTGGAGCCATGCATTCGTGAGTACCCCCTGTTTTGTTTGAGTCACCCAGTTCTTTCCTCGCATAGCAGCATTAACCTGTGGGCAAGGGCTTCACTGGGAACAGAGGCATGTAACAACTCTCTCACAAACCTTCCGACTCATCGATGAAGGGACGTGGAGAATCCTCATTTGGCATGATTCAGAGAACCCACAAAACCCACATCGTGCTCCAGAAGTGTTCCCTGGAGCGGAAAAACAGGCACCTTTTTCTGACCTTCAGAATGTCATTTCTCTCTATGTGAAGGAGGACAAATAAATGGTTTACTGTGACATGGTAGTCCCTCTTGGTTGATCCTTGGTGCTGCTTGAGGAGGCATGAACATGGATAGGCCGAGAAACGGTGCAGGTGGGATGGAGAGCGGGGAGGGAGGCCATCACAGACCTCTGGGGGAATAATAAGGATGTTCTTTCTGAGCTGCTCATTATGTTTCACGTTTATCTGAAATGAGAGATGACTGGAGCCAAAATCGCCAAAGAATTGACAAGCTGGAATTTGTCCAGAGGAGGGAGACTAAAATGATCAAGGGTCTGGAGAACAAGCCCTATGAGGAGCGGCTTAAGGAGATGGG